TCTCTTTATTGGTGCGGGAACAGAGCGCGGAATACGAGGAATCCTATATGGTGCGCAACTCGAGGACGGACCCGGAAGCGCGAGCCGAGGTGAAGGTTGATCCTCAGGCTCAAGCACCTCAACGGATACGACCTCCGATGTCCGAACCGTTCGACCGGTGACCAGCTTCCCAGGCGCAGAGCGCACCGGTACTAATTCCAGATCTAACACAACCCCGTAAAAACAGGTATTCACAATAAGGAATATGAAGATAATTGTCAGTAACAGATTTTGGAATTATTGCTCTTAAGAACCACCAAAACGTGCAAAGACAATCACTTAGATGTGTAGGAAATGGAAAGAAACTCAAAACTTACTTTGCATGAGAGAACGAAGAAAAACCAAATGCGAGATTGACGACGACGGCGGTAGCGGGAGCGGAAACGAAGACGAAGACCAAAGACAGAGACAGCAGCAAGAACCACAGCAAGAACAAAAGCCAAACCAAGAACGAAGACAACGAAGACAGCGGGGGCGATGACCAAAACCAATTCACACAAGAGACCAAGAACGACAGCAGCAGCGAAAACCAAAACCAAGAACGACGGCAAGAACGAGAGCGACAACGACAGCGAGAAGACCAGCGGAAAGAACGACGAGAAACGGCAGCGAAAACGACAGCGACAACGACGGCAGAAACAACGGAACGAGAACAACAGACTCATGCAGTGAAACGACAGCGAGGGACTGGGCCCATAACCTAATGGTAGGTTCGGAGGGGCAAAGGAAAGAAGGAAGGCAGGTTGATGTGTGTGAGTGAAGGAGTTGGTGCCGAGGTTTACTTTGAAGCCGTTTTCCTGCAATACTTATACACTTGGAGTGCTACACTATCGCTCTACTCCGACTCCCAGTAAACCATACTCTACTATGCGCGACCAAGCGCGGTCCTCTTGTGGCCCGACCATACTGTTCGATTTCCACCTTACGAATCGATTCGTAACTATTAGCTCACAACTATTTCTACACATTCCAAATGACTGTAAACCATGGCCCTATGCATGCAACTGTTTCACACCTTACTAATCTGCATCCAGTCATGCCAGACTTCATTGTTGTGCAACGAACAACTTGGCACTTGTCTATTTCCAACAACGCAAACGTCTTTCATATCACAATCGCCATACGTATCCTTGTTTCTCACCTTACTAATTTCGCCAAGCACTGTCAGACAGTTATGGCAAGTTATAACAATGTGCATCCAGACTTTCTACACAACTCACATGAGATTACATGTAAATCACACGAGTACTGTCATGAACTTGCATCCAACGGCGCACCATGACGAGAGCACAGTGCAACGGCGCGTGCTCACGCAAGACTCGCATACAGCGTGACGCGTACACAGAATAATGGCACAACTGTATTCCTCTCGCGAGAAGTACTTGTTGTACTTTTGATTCACATGTACTGTACTCGGACACGCGCAGGATCGCAAACAGTCTGACACTGTAAAACTGTAAACCCTCATGTGCATACACCTGGATGCGTGTACATGTGTACGTACACGAATCCACCTGGCGACGTGTACATGTGTACACGGCATACATGTGTCCCGCCCGGGGGCCCCATGCAATTACCCATTACAACCATGGCAAACCACTTGAAACCCCCAAAACAACGTAATTATGGCATATACAGGCCATTTAAAGTACATCACAAGGCCAATGACGCACATGTGGACAACGCTCGACCAATAGATTTGCAGCATTAGACCTGAGGGCCAATAGAATTGCAGTATTTCCTGTGTAGTCTATAGTGCTACGGGCCAAGGTTCCACTTGGCAAAACTATGCAAATTTGCATGACCCTCCGAGAGGCCACTTTCGTCCCCGGAACCCGAAAATCTGGGATTTTACACGTGTCATGTCGTGATATGGGTAAGAGCGCCCGGACCATGCAGTCATGTACACGTGTCACTCGATTTTGACCTTTTCAGATAACAGCATGTGGTCGCACATTTTCAATAGTAAACGCAATCGTACCAGCGTTGTCACATCCAACGCGAATTGTTGGATCCGAATTCGCACCAAGTACATCGGCATGGAAGCGTCGAAGCCACGCGGCCTCTTTGCATGCTTCACTGAGTGCGATGTATTCTGCCTCACAAGTAGACTTTGCAACTACTGTTTGTTTCCGGGAAGCCCAACTGATAGGCCCATCACAAAGCTTTGTAGATTCGTTCTGAGCAAACGCAATCGTACCAGCGTTGTCACATCCAACGCAAATTGTTGGATCCGAATTCGCACCAAGTACATCGGCATGGAAGCGTCGAAGCCACGCGGCCTCTTTGCATGCTTCACTGAGTGCGATGTATTCTGCCTCACAAGTAGACTTTGCAACTACTGTTTGTTTCCGGGAAGCCCAACTGATAGGCCCATCACAAAGCTTGAACACGTACCCACTCGTTGATTTCCGTGATTCAAGGCATCCACCCCAATCTGCGTCGCTATACCCATGAAGTTCCGTACCAAGATCATCTTTACCAAACACTATTCCAAGATGCTGGGACCCACGCAAGTATCTCAAAACACGTTTCACACCTGTCCAATGCGAATCGTGAGGGTCGGCACAGTGTTGAGATAACTTTCCAATGGCATACGCAATATCGGGGCGGGTCCCGACCATTAGGAACATTAGACATCCAATGGCCTGACGATATGGTTCAAAGCATGGGTTGTCATCAGTGCCAGTTTCGGCCACTTGCATTGTGACATGTCGAGACTGTTCCATCGGAGTAACGCAAGGATTGCATGCCGACATTTTGAACCGTTTCAGTACTGCTTGGGCATACTTCGACTGCGTGACGGTCAGGGCGTGTTTAGAACGTATACGGTCGATCTCTAGACCAATACAAGTCTTCGCCTCGCCAAGGTCTTTCATATCAAATCGTTTGTTGAGTTCATTTTTCATCCATAATATGGCCTCCAAGTCACTTCCAGCTAGCAGCAGATCGTCCACGTACAACGCGATAATCATGATGACATTGCCTTGACGTCGAATGTAAAGACATGGGTCGCTGCGTGTAGTGTTGAAACCAAGTTCAGTGATCAGAAACTCATCGATCTTACTATGCCATTGGCGATGGGCTTGCTTAAGACCATAGATTGCTTTCAAAAGTTTACACACCGAATCAGGTTTGACTTTGTCGATGCATCCTTCAGGTTGCTCCATGTAGATTTCTTCGTGAAGTTCACCGTTGAGGAAGGCAGTCACCACGTCCATCTGATGCAGCTCAAGGTCAAAGTGCGCAACCAGTGCCAGCAGCAGACGGATAGTTGTGAACTTGATGACACGGGCGAAAGTTTCAGTGTAATCGATGCCTTCTACTTGTTGAAAGCCTCGTGCCACAAGACGTCCCTTTGCAGTTTCGACCAATTTTCCGGACTCGTCAGGAAGTTGCTTCACTCCGAAAACTCACCTGGACGTCAGGACGTTTGATGCTTGAGATCTTGGAACAAGTGTCCATGTTTTGTTTTTGTGTTGTGAAGCAAGTTCTTTGTCGATCCCCTTCTGCCAGAAGCGAGCTTTTGGAGAATCCATAGCTTTCTTGTACGAGTTTGGGATTTCCGTTATCACATGGGCGTGGCTAAGGAGTCCAGTAGTCACCAAAGCTGCTGCCCACCACGCCCCAGGCGTTTTGCGAATGCGAGTGGACCGACGGAGATTAGTTGGCGGATCAATCGTTTCTTCCTCAACTACGTGTTGGTCAACTGTTTCGGTGGTTTCGTCCTCCCCTGCAGTTGGGGAGGAGTTGGAGGATTCATCAGAGTCTTGTTGTTCATCCGGCAATGATACTTCTGATGCCACTGCATCATTTTCTGCAACTTCCTCATCGATGTTCAAGTTGATTGTGTCATCATCAGTTGAAACCTCCTCGTTTGTATCCATCGGTTCACCAGATTTGCCTCCCGTGGACTCGTCAAAAGTAACATCTCTGGATACGATCACTTTGTGTAAATCACCATCCCACAACTTGTAAGCTTTCGTATTTTCAGCATACCCCAGAAACATTGCCTCCTTTATTGAGAATGTGCGACCACATGCTGTTATCTGAAAAGGTCAAAATCGAGTGACACGTGTACATGACTGCATGGTCCGGGCGCTCTTACCCATATCACGACATGACACGTGTAAAATCCCAGATTTTGGGGTTCCGGGGACGAAAGTGGCCTCTCGGAGGGTCATGCAAATTTGCATAGTTTTGCCAAGTGGAACCCTGGCCCGTAGCACTATAGACTACACAGGAAATACTGCAATTCTATTGGCCCTCAGGTCTAATGCTGCAAATCTATTGGTCGAGCGTTGTCCACGTGTGCGTCATTGGCCTTGTGATGTACTTTAAATGGCCTGTATATGCCATAATTACGTTGTTTTGGGGGTTTCAAGTGGTTTGCCATGGTTGTAATGGGTAATTGCATGGGGCCCCCGGGCGGGACACATGTATGCCGTGTACACATGTACACGTCGCCAGGTGGATTCGTGTACGTACACATGTACACGCATCCAGGTGTATGCACATGAGGGTTTACAGTTTTACAGTGTCAGACTGTTTGCGATCCTGCGCGTGTCCGAGTACAGTACATGTGAATCAAAAGTACAACAAGTACTTCTCGCGAGAGGAATACAGTTGTGCGATTATTCTGTGTACGCGTCACGCTGTATGCGAGTCTTGCCTGAGCACGCGCCGTTGCACTGTGCTCTCGTCATGGTGCGCCGTTGGATGCAAGTTCATGACAGTACTCGTGTGATTTACATGTATTCTCATATGAGTTGTGTAGAAAGTCTGGATGCACATTGTTATAACTTGCCATAATTATCTGACAGTGCTTGGCGAAATTAGTAAGGTGAGAAACAAGGATACGTATGGCGATTGTGATATGAAAGACGTTTGCGTTGTTGGAAATAGACAAGTGCCAAGTTGTTCGTTGCACAACAATGAAGTCTGGCATGACTGGATGCAGATTAGTAAGGTGTGAAACAGTTGCATGCATAGGGCCATGGTTTACAGTCATTTGGAATGTGTAGAAATAGTTGTGAGCTAATAGTTACGAATCGATTCGTAAGGTGGAAATCGAACAGTATGGTCGGGCCACAAGAGGACCGCGCTTGGTCGCGCATAGTAGAGTATGGTTTACTGGGAGTCGGAGTAGAGCGATAGTGTAGCACTCCAAGTGTATAAGTATTGCAGGAAAACGGCTTCAAAGTAAACCTCGGTACCAAATCCTTCACTCACACACATCAACCTGCCTTCCTTCTTTCCCTTGCCCCTCCGAACCTACCATTAGTTTCGTCCTCCCCTGCAGTTGGGGAGGAGTTGGAGGATTCATCAGAGTCTTGTTGTTCATCCGGCAATGATACTTCTGATGCCACTTCATCATTTTCTGCAACTTCCTCATCGATGTTCAAGTTAATTGTGTCATCATCAGTTGAAGCCTCCTCGTTTGTATCCATCGGTTCACCAGATTTGCCTCCCGTGGACTCGTCAAAAGTAACATCTCTGGATACGATCACTTTGTGCAAATCACCATCCCACAACTTGTAAGCTTTCGTATTTTCAGCATACCCTAGAAACATTGCCTCCTTTGCACGGGCGTCAAGTTTCTGGATGTTGTGTTTTGGTAATGTATACCAACACTTTGAACCGAAAACACGCAAATGACCAACATTTGGCACAGATTTCATCCATAAGTGGTAGGGGGTCATCTTGGGGGGAATGGCACGTGACGTGACTCGATTTCGAACGTACACTGCATTGGCAAGTGCTTCTGCCCAGAACCCCTTTGTAACTTTCTTGTGCGCTAGCATGGAGCGCACCAAGTTTACCAAAGTTCTGTTCAGTCGTTCGGCGACGCCATTTTGCTCCGGAGTGTACGCGGTCGTCATTTGATGCTGAGTACCATTTGCAATCAGAAAAGACTTAAACTCCGTGGACAGATACTCACCACCTCGATCGGTGCGAAGCACTTTGATTTTGCGATCAGTGTGAGTCTGAGCAAGTTGTGCAAACATTTTGTATCGTTCAAATGCTTCTGATTTATGGTGTATAGGGTACACTACTGACCAGTTTGAGTGATCATCTATGAAGGTAATGAAGTACTTGGCACCACCAATGGACTGCACCTCTAAGGGGCCACAAACATCAGAGTGAACTAAGTCTAGACAGAAGTATGCCCGCCTCGAGGACCGCTCTTTTGGGATCACAGATCGATTGGCTTTGCCGTAGACGCACGCAGAACATTTTTCAGAGATGCAATCATTGTCAGTGTTGTTAATTTTGTTAGCCTCATTACCAAGTAGTTTGACTCCACTTACCACATTGTCACGAATCATCGAAGCAATACCTTGAGAATGCACATGTGCAAAGCGCTCATGCCACGTTTGCAGGGTGGCAGCATGTGCAGATCCGATGTCACTGACGATGTCGAGAACGTAAAGTTCTCCAACCAATGTCGCAGTCGCCACTACAGTTGAGCCTCGTCTGATCATGCATTTTCCATTTTCGAACCCAACTTTTAGTCCAAGTTCAGTCATTCGACTGACAGAGAGCAGAGAGAACGCAAAGTCCGGAACGTGCAATACATCCGTCAACTTGCACGGTTCCATGCGGCCATTCACATTTAACTTCAAGTGAACGTCACCACGGCCGGCAACCTTTGCACTAGCCTTGGTTCCCATCTGAACAGAGGCGGATTCAAGTGGCTCATACGTTGCAAACAAAGATCGGTCATATGTAATATGAGCTGTACAAGCTGAATCTACGAGCCACGAAGGCGACATCTCCATATCGTTCGTGTGCGAAGCTTTCGACATCAGACATGTGAAGTCGACGCTGTTTACAACCATGTCGGGATCAGGTTTCTGTGTGACAAATGCAGATTGTTTCCGCTGAGACATACGCGGTTTATATGTGCTAGGAGGAGCCGGGCGACGCCCATTCAAATCCTTTCCCCAGCAGCGGGTTGCCGTATGGCCTGTATGACCGCAGTTCGTGCATTTGTAATCGTTTATGTCCCGATTGTTCGGGGCACGATTAACCAGAGCCGATGTCTGTGAGGAGCTAGACTTCATGTTTGCTCGTTGCTCTTCCTGCAGCAGACGACTCTTCACAAAGTCCAAACTGAATATCTTTTCCTCATTACCGAGAGCATCAAGTGCAACGATGAGAGCCTCGAAACGGGCAGGCAGACCGTTGAGCACTGCCATGGCCATCTCCTTGTCATCGATGTTTACGCTCATTGACTTGAGGATGGCTGCCAGCTGCTTGACACGATTGATGTATGCAAGCACCTTTTCACCGGAAAGCATCTTCACAGTGTAGAACTCACGACGTGCAGCTAGTTTGTTCAGCAAAGTGTGCCTCTCAAACACGTTGACAATAGCTTCCCACATCTCATGAGCAGTATCAACATCACGTACATGCTCAAGATGCTCATCTGATAGGGAGAGACCAATCAGTGCTTTAGCTTTACTGTCACCTCTGATCCACTTCTTACGCTCTTCCGCGCGTTCCTCACTTGGAACTCTTCCCTCAACGATGTATTGGTCAACATCACGTAGAGCAAGCAGAAGTTGTATTTTCTGCTTCCACACGTAGAAGTTGGAGTCCGTCAGTTTGTCGATTCTGATGGATCCTCCTCCTCCTTGATCTTCCATTTTAGTGCAAATAAACTTCAAGTATTCGAAAATCCGTTCGGGGATCCCAAGCCGTTAACCGATAGTCAACACAATGGCAAGCCCACCCGTCTAAGAAATTCGATATGATTACTATGAAGTTGCACTAGGAGAAATTTGCGAACAGATATGTGAATTTATTTGGATGAAATCCCTAACTATTCTGTTCACAAACTACCTTTAAGTGTGCGGCACCGTTCTCGTGGCACTTCAGGTGCCCGTGAGACTCAAAGACGCGATTGCAAGGGATACAACGCGGAGTCTCCTTAGCGTTGGCAACTTGAATGCGATGAGACCTAGACTGAATGTGGTCGTAAAAGGCCTTCGCACTATTGCCACTAACGCCGCACAC